TTGCCATAGCAGGACATCTGTCTGCTCCCTGCAAAATGAGGAACCAGGCCCATAAGGTTCTTTCCACTGACTCCTCTTTTCCTTAGACTCTAGGTTTATGCCAGTGAATGAGCCTAGAGCCTTCCCTTCTGACCTCTCTAAACTTCCTTCCTTCCTTCCTTCCTTCCTTCCTTCCTTCCTTCCTTCCTTCCTTCCTTCCTTCCTTCCTTCCTCCCTCCCTTCCTTTTTCTTTCTTCTTTCTTTCTTCCTTTCTTTCTTTCTTTCTTTCTTTCTTTCTTTCTTTCTTTCTTTCTTTCTTTCTTTCTTTCTTTCTTTCTTTCTTTCTTTCTCTCTTCCTTCCTTCCTTTCTTTCTTTCTTTCTTTCTTTCTTTCTTTCTTTCTTTCTTTCTTTCTTTCTTTCTCTTTCTTTCTTTCTTCTCTCTCTCTCTCTCTCTCTCTCTCTCTCTCTCTCTCTCTTTCTTTTTTTCTCTCTCTCTAAATATGTATTTTTGATTGGTTTCAGAGAGGAAGGGAGAGGGAGAGAGAGATAGAAACATCAATGATGAGAGAGAATCATTGATTGGTTACCTCCTGCATGCCCCACACTTTTGTGATCAAGCCCACAACCCCGAGCATGTATCTTGACCAGGAATTGAATCATGACCTCCCGGTACATATGTTGACATTCAACCACTGAGCACGCCGGCCAGGCTCTAAACTCTTTCTTGTTGAAGATCAGATACACATGGAATCCCCTATGATCCTTCTTTACTTACCACTGAGAATCAAAGCCAGATATAAACTTTTATAACTTGCTCTGTGTTATTGCTTGAACTGCTACAAAATGGTACTGACTCAATGATGCTTGTATATTGATCTCAAAAGATATTGTTTTATCCTATTTCATATATACGCTAATAAAATGGCAAAGACTGCTGTCTGTCCTAGGTAATGAGAACTATTTCAGGGCACAGATAGAAACCAGAATTCCTGATTCCTTTTAACCAGCTTTATTATCTACCAGGCTGTGAACTCCACCGCAGCAGGGACAAAGTGTTATTCATTCTTGACTGTCCAGAGCATGGCATGAGGCCTGGTACAAAACGACATTCAGATTGTTACACTGAAATAATACATCTTTGTTTTACCCTTTCCAAATGTAGCTTTTTGGGGGGATTTTTACTGAACTTATTCTATTTCTGTTTTCAGCTCTAGGGAGCAATTGGCCACGAGATCCCAAAGAGAGCAACTGTGGAGATGCTGCTGCAGCTACGGGAACGAGCAGGCCCGGGTTCTTTCTCTTCTTTCACTGAGCCAGCTGAAGCAGGGCTGTGTACACAGCACAGCTCCAACTCAGATTGAGGGAATACCTAGGTTTGGCAGGCTCCAGATGCTTATACCTGTTATTAGCAATATTTGGGAGTGGCCTTTCAAAAGGAGATTATTATCACCCAGTGTGACTTAGATAGAAAAGGACACTTAACTTTTGAGGGGAAAAAAATCTGTGGAAAACTTTACTGCAGATGCGGGGGGGGGGGGGGGGGGAGGGTGGATAAGGGCTGCTTAAGGGCACTAGATATAAGACTAGAAAAACATGGCTTCTGTGGTGAAATGTTTATCAAGGTGACTGCCAGCAATGCTTTTCTTCTCTGTACACACGTTCTACTCTTCCTATTAAATGGTGAAGTCTATGACTCCCTCTCCTTGAATTGGGACTGGCTCTCTGACTTGATTTGACCAACAGAATTGGGTATATGTGATGCTGTGACTTCTGGGCCTAAGCCTTTAAAGGCCTTGTAGCTTTTGTTTTTATCTTCTCAGAAGCCAGGTGCCATGTAAAAAAGTCTGGGTTATCCTGCAAAAAGGTCACGTGGAGTTCACTGGCATGGCACAGTGGTTGAGCGTCAACCTATGAACCGGGAGGTCACAGTTCAATTCCGGGTCAGGGCATATGCCTGGGGTGTGGGCTCAATCCCCAGTGTGGAGCATGCAGGAGGCAGCCTATCAATGGTTCTCTCTCATCATTACTGTTTCTCTCTGAAATCAATAAAAATATATCTACAGAAAGGTCAAGTGGAGAGAGAGAGGCCCTGGGAAAGAAGGGTTAATATGGAGGGGGAATTAGGCTCCCCATTTAACAGGCAGCACCAGCTACCAAACATATGAGTGAGGCCATCCTGGATCCTTCATCCAGTTGTGCCTCCCAGTGGACACCACATAGAGCAGAGATGAGCCATCCTGTTGATCCCTGCTTGAATGCCTACTCCAAAGAATTATGAGCAATAAAATGATTGTCGTTAAGTTTTGAGGTCGCGTAGCCACAGATAACTGAAAATAGCTCCAAGGACTGGCCAGGTGATAGTGATACTCCTGTAGGCATTTCTGCAGCATCTTTTTTTTCTTTTTCCTACGGCAGTGGAACTGGGAATGCATAGATTCCCAGCAAAGCTTGAGATTGCCACAGTCTGACAGAACATGAGAGTGTATTGTCAGGTCTTCCTGCCTGTGGACCACGTACAGAAAGGACAGGTTGTGAATCCAGAGCCACTCCAATACTTCCTCCTGGTTGGGCTTGGCACCCAGAAGTCACAAAGATGAAAAAGGAATCACCAGTATAGTGAGATCCAGATTTTTAAAGAGCTGCTTATGTCAATGAGTTGGTAAGAAAGGGCACTAAGGAGGCCCTGGGTAAATTTATAGTTCAAATTGCCAGGCTTTGCTTGTTGGTGGTGCTCAGGATCGAGGCTGCAATGATAAATTTGGATGTGGTGACTCTCAGGCTGGTATCTAGATTCCTCTTTTGTCTTTGTGTCAGTCCCTTGCCTGTTACTCTACTCTATCTAGTGGGAAGACCCAGCCGTGCTTTTATCAGTCTCTTTTCCTGGGGATTAATGTTCTGGCCTTGACCCACGGCCTGGTAGCCCTATCCCATGATGCCAGTGCTCCAGCTTGCCCACATCACTGGATATCACCTGTTCAGGACTTTGTCCCGCTTGTCTGTCCAAACCCTTCTTTCCCTGTTGAGACCTCCCTGCTTGCCCGGACTACCACCTGTTGTTTGTTGACATCTGTATGGTACCATGTTTCATCTGTTTTCTTCACTTCCTTATTGCTCCTGGAACTTGATTTCCTCCCTTCAGTTCTTACCAGGTGCTCACGGAATCGGCTCCATTCCACTGAAAAGTGGGGGCCATGTAAGACTGTGTCCAAAATACAGTCTAATTCTTCTTCCACAGAGTAACCTTTAGAGTTTGATAACAACCTTTCCATCACTGTTAATCATCTCTTTAGGCGAAATATTGCTAGTTTCCATGTTATCAAGGTCACCCATTTATGGATATAATTTAGCCTGTCAATATTCCTCTTAAAAGGTGGCATATGGAAGTGATTCACATGCTTCAACAGAGAATATAGTACGATATCATTTCCTATGGTAAAGGCATATTTTATGTTTTATTAATTATGCCTACATTTATGTTATTATTTTACATTAGCATTTTAAAGGGTTTCCATCAGGAATAGATGAAGGTTTTATGGGTCCTAAAGCTTATAAAACTTTAGGGACTCTCTTTAATAAAACACTTTAAGATAAATATAGTTTCAAGGAATGTGAAAATAAGGGATTCTGAAGCTTAGGTTTTGTAAGTTTTTATTGTAAATCTGCCTCAAAGTTCCCAATAGTATTGTCTGGTTAACTTCCTGGCTCTTCTTTACCAGAACTGCTATCTAATCAGGTTTTCTCTCTGTATCAGTGAATCTTATTAAGTTTAACTTGGGCACTTAGCATACGGGGAATGAAATAACATAGGTGAGGGACTCTAGCACACAGAGCACACAAATAAATGGTAGCAAATATTATTTTTATTCCTTACCAGCAGGACCTTATCAAATAATTTATCTTCTCTACTCTTAATGTCCACTTTGATGTAATGGACATAATACTTGTCCTGCCCTCTTCATAAGTTATTGTGAGGATCAAATGATAAAATATGTGAATGTGCTTTGTTAACTGAAAAGCATCAGACCCATGGAAGGCATTGTAACTGAGGTTTCATTCGGTATTGTTAATTTTTGAAAAGGTTATGCCTAGGAAAGAAAAGAAGATTTTATGTTGGCTAAGGTGGGGTCCCTAAAGACTTCATTCAATAGCAGTGTGAGGAGGCAAAGGACAAGAGGTGCAGATGCTGGAGGCAATGACCTTGCACATCCTGTTGGACATGCCAACATTCAGAAAAGATGAAATAAAATGTGAGAGCATGTAATTACACAAAAGGAAAGAACTGGGAAGGTGGTGTGTGTGTGTGTGTGTGTGTGTGTGTGTGTGTGTGTGCTTTCCAAAACTGGCCTCAATCTAGGTCTCCAGCCTCTACAGCCACGTCCTGCTGTGCAGCCCGGGCTCCCAGGCCTCTGCCTGGAGAAATCCTACTCACACTTTAGGTTCAGAATAAAAGCCCCTCCTCCCTGGGGTTTCCCCAATTCCTCTTGTTCCTCCCACAGGAAGAAAAATAGTTCCTCTTCCATGCCCTTTCTGTGACCACTTCCACTCTAGGCTAAGAGGAACTCAGATGTCCTTATTTCCTCGCCTCTAGGGCCTAGCCTCGCCTGCCACTGAATAGGTGTTCAATAAACGTTTAGTCAGGGAATTTACTTTGGGAAAATAAGTTTTAAAAGTTGATAAAAGGGCGTTTAAGGTTGGAATTCGTAAGAACGCCTTGCACACAGGCCTTAGCAGTCGTGATCCAGCGCCGCGTTGGGGGTCTGATGTCCCTCCAGCTGGGGTACCAGGCGACCGATCCCAGGGAATCCCGCGGGAGGGGCCGCCCGCGCCCGGGTCGGGGTCGGGGGCGTGGCCGGGGCGGAGGGCGTGGCCTGGTCGGGGGCGTGGCCTGGCGAGGCTCGAGGGGGGTTTCGTGCCGGGGGGCGCGTCCGGCGGGGGCGCGGGAGGGGCTTCCGCCGCGAGGGGGCGGGGCCGGCGTCCGGAGCTCGCTGACGGTCCCAGCCAGGGAATTTCAATTTGAAACCTACCAGAAGGGAGGAGGCGGGCGCGGCTGCCGGGCGGCTGGGGCTGAAGCAGGACCCGTCCCCGCGGCGAGAGCTCCCGAGGTGCGGTGTCCGGGTAAGGAGGCGGCGGAATGGCGGGCCTGAGGCGGGGGGACCCGGGCCGACTGACTAGTCCCTGCGGAGCTGCAGGGGCGGCTCGGGTTTTTCCTCTGGCAGCAGCTGGGAAGCTGATCCCAGGCAGGAAGCGGTGGCGGGACGGTCCCCCCGGGGGGGAGGGCGGCCGGCTTGGGGGTTCTCTGTAGCTCCCCTCTCCTGTCCTCCCCCTTTCTACCGGACCCCGTTCCCTCCCCGGGGTCCGGGTCCTGTTGCTCCAGGCCGGATACTCGCTTCTCCGCTCCACTGGGGACCCCTCGGCCCCTTCCTTCCCCGGGAGCCGGGCCAAGTCCCGTCGTAGCCGGGAGAGGTCGGGGCATGGAGAGGACTGTGCGGACTC